AAGCAGCTACTCCCGTAAATTGAACACCTACCTTATTAAATATTACTTTTTAAATATCCTAGTATCGTCATTCATCCAACTAATTTTTCTGTTTTTACACACATACACACACACATACATACAATCATACATACAATCATACATATATAATTACATACGCACAGATTTTAACACACATGTGTATGTAATTATGTATATATGTGTGAGTGTATGAGAAGTACTTTGTATATATGTGTGTGCATGCTTGTGTGAGTGTGTATGTGATATGTATGTGCGCGTGTGTATGTCTATCTGTGTGTGTCTGTCTGTGATTGTTTTTATCATTATAAAAATGATACAATAGCACAGGTACACGTGCACTATTTATACAATCGGATCTAACAACATTATGAGCATACTACTTTTATTGTTTTTTACGTACTTAATGTACATGCTGTATTTGGTATATTTATGGTATTTATGGTATTTGGATTTGTATTACCGTCGTATTGTATTGGATTTTTACACCTGTCTTTAGTTTGTTTGTTTGTTTGTATGTTTGTGTGTGTAAACATTTTGTCAACCATGTTTTAGTTCTTTTAGGAGATGTGTGTGTGCATGTATCTGTGTGGGTGTCTGCGTGCGTGTGTCTGTGTGTATGTGTGTGTGGTGTTGCTATCTTTAGCACTTTTTTATTTAAAAAAAAAATTCTTATCGTATTTAAATTTTTGACCATGAAGCTTCTTAGTTAATAATGATATTTTACTGTTAAGTGGTGGTTTTTGTTTATATTTGTGTGTGTTTGTGTGTACGTGTGTATGTGAGTATGTACGTGTGTGTGTTCGATTGTTTGTTTGTCTCATAAGAAACAGCAAGAGACTAATAGTTTTCTAATTGCTTTAGTTCTATTGTTCAACGCTGGTTGGATGGTCGGTGCAATATCATTGGTATCTACTGCTGTGTGCGTGCGTGTGCGTGTATGCGTATTGTGTACGTATGTGTGTGTGTGTGTTTGTGTGTGTGTGTTTGTGTGTGTACGTGTTTATGCATGTATGACGGTATGTAATTAGCCGTGATGTCAAAAAACATCCATGATGATAATGACGAAAGGACAGAAAATGCGTGGGGAAGATTATACTTGACGGGGACGAACGAATGAACGAACGAACAAACGAACGAACGAACAAACGAACGAGAAACGAAGGAATGAATAAAAGGTTGATTGGACGAATGAATGAATGAGTGACATGTACGAACGTATGTACGTATGCTATTCATTCATAAACATTATCATTATTTATCATCACCATCATCATCATCCCCACCATCATCATCACCACCATCATCATCACCACCATCATCATCATCAACACCACCATCATCATCATCAACACCACCACCATCATCATCAGCACCATCATCATTCTTACCTCTCAACCTCTTACAGGAGAGCTGACATACAGCAAAACTTCAATTGAGACTTCAAACAAATTATAAACAAATAAAAACATATATACGTTCAAATAAATAAATCAATAACAAAATTATTATTATTTGTAGTATTATTATAAATTATTATTATTTGTTAACAATAGTTTTTATTTGTATTATTGTTACGAAACAAAATATGTTGTATACCATTACATTACTCGATTCAACGCAGAAATTTCTTCACAATACTGAACACTATTTCAGGCTGAATATTATAGTGACAGTAAATCTTTAGTGAATCACAAAAATAACAATTATTATTATTTTTATTATTTTTTCGTCTTATTTTAGTTAATTCCATACGAAAAGAAAAAAATCAAGCACTACAATCCTTTTTCCAAGCAGAGATTTGAACTCTTATATGTAAGCGCGCCTGTATGTACATACATACATACATACATACATACATACATACATACATACACGCGCGCGCTTATATATAACGTACATACGTATGTATGTGTGTACGCATGTTTGTATGACAATAGAACTATATATGTACGTACATCAGCATATACCACTACATATATTTTTTTGAAACAATTGGAATATGTATGTATATATACATATATATATTTTGAGAAAAAAAAAATATTTATATATAAATGCTTGTTGGCCTGTCTGTATATGTATATGTGAGTATGTACGTATGAGTGTGTGTATGTGTGTAAACCTTGATGAAACTAAATAAACACAAAATTTATCTTGTATTGAAAGAAAGTCATTTTATTATTTTTTTTTTAAATTAATTACGGAATGATAAAAGTAGCAGCAATATTAATATAATTGTTATGATAAGATAATAATTATCTGTAATAAATATGCGTAGTAATAATTAAATTGAGCAAATTATGAAACACAAATAATATTTTTTCAATATTCAGGAGTCCAATGGATCTAAAATTATGATTTAAAAATATAAGATACATTAAAAACTACAGTACGGCATGTTTACAACAACAATTAAACATGATTTCGGGTAAAACTTAATCATTAATAAGTGAATATTTAATGAAATAATCTCAAAATTTACAAAAATGTGAAAAAATTTCAAACAAAAAAAGGATTAACATGAATCAAAAACGAGTAACCTTGGCTGGCCAACCAACCAGCCAACCAACCAGTCAATCAACCAACCAACCAAACAGTCAATCTACCAACCAACCAACCAACCAGTCAATCAACCATTTAACCAACTGACCAGTCAATCAACAAACCAACCAGTTAATCAACCAATCAACCATCCAATCAACCAACCAAATCATTAAATGAATGAATTATAATTAATCCCAAAAACTTTTGAAATGTTCACTAATTAATGATGTCAAATAATCACCGATTTATTATCACCGACGTTACCATCATCATTGTCGTCGTCATCATCATCATCTCATCATCGTCACATTCCGGCGATCAAAGTCATCGAAGAAGTTTATAATTTTTATCAAATATACAATTCAACATTCACACTAAATCTTTCATCGTAACAACAATAATATCATTAGGCCTTATTATTGTTATAATAATAATTATAATTATTATTATAATTATTATTATTATTGTTGTCAAACTTCATCACCATCGTCATCAGCAGTAGTTTTCTTAGCGCGTCTGTCGCTTTTCCCGCCAATTTTTCCAGATGACGATGTTGCCGTTGTCGATGTGACGACCGTCTGTGTGACGTCACTTCCGTCAGCTGTTTTCTTTTTAGTTTTTTTGGTAACCCTCTCGATGCTGACGTCGTCGCCAACTGGCAAGGGTGAATCGAACTCGGGCTGTACAGGTTTGTTTATGTTTACGTTGTTACTGTTTATCTTTATGTGGTTTATAAATTTTCCTGAACAAACCACTGAACAGACGAACAAACAAACGAACGAACGAACGAACAAACAAACAAACAAGCTAACAAAAAACTAGACATACAACCTCGATGTTGTTATTAATGAACAATTCAAACACCACATAAACAGCAAAAAAGATACAAAAGAAAAAATACTATGGCGACAGGGCAGTTACGACAACACTTACGTCAAGCAACACAAGCTCTTTAGATTTTAACTTTTTCACTTTCTTCTTACCGGCAGAATTCTTAACTACCCTTACCTCATCATCATCATCATCACCCAGGCCGTCATCATTATCATCATTACCCTCCACTCCATCATCACGGTCTCCATAATTACCCTCTCTTCCCATCATATCTCCCCAATTTTGCTGGTTGCCATGGCGGTTTGAGTGTGATGGATTGGCGACATCTATATCGCCAGCGTTGTCCTCCAGACTGTTATTTCGCGAGGATTTTTTATGCTTCTTTTTATGCTTTTTGGTTACACTCTGGCTGACGTCATCGTCGATAGTTGCGGCTACTACTGCAGAAGTCGTTGTGACTGTCGCCGCGTGTCGCGGCGAGTGGTCGGGCGTGTCAGTGACGTCATCGTCGACGTCATCTACTTTGCGTGACTGCGATTTCTTCTTGGATCTTTTCTTCTTCTTCTTCTCTGCAGACTATTTGAAAAAAAAAAAATTATTTTTTCCTCGCCATCATTCTCGTTAAATTTAATGACGAAACCATAGAAAGTAAAATTTGCACGTGAGGAAATTTTGTGATGGAAAAATTTTGTAAAAAAAATTTCTAGTAGCTGGGAAATTGAAAATTACATTTAGGCTTAAATCGACCATATCCGTATGAAGATGATGATGATGACGTTGGTGGTGGTGATGATGATGTTCGTCGTCGTCGTCGTCATCTTCATCATCTTGGTGATTGTTGTTTTTGTTGTTGTTTGGGTGTTTGTTTTGTTCCCTCGCGTATGATGCTAGCTCGCTTATGTCTAGTTCACTCACACTGTTTGGTTCGTGGGTTGGTTGGTTTGTTCATTCGTTCGTTCGTTCGTTCGTTCGTTCGTTCGTTCGTTCGTTGGATGATTGATTGTGTTTTGCATTACTTGTTAGATTATAAAAAATTATTAAAAAGCATTTTTGCCAGCAATCTGACTCATATTTTCATTTAACTGACTGCAAACAAAGCTAGTTATTTCTTAGAAGAAAAAATTTAAAATCAAACAAACAAACGAGCGAACAAACAAACGAACGAACAAGCGAACGAGCAAACGAACGAACAAACTTACTCATCAACCTGATCTTCCCCGTCTTTGTGCACATCCACCTCTAAATTGTGCTGCTGCTGCTGGTCGCCTCGTGGCTGTTGTTGATGCAGCTGGTCTTGAGACTTCCTTCTAAGCGACGTTCTCTTAAACGAACTCCTAGCAATATTTACAAGTTTGGATTTCAAACTGCCATCGGTGACGTCATTATTATCTTTGTTCTGATTGGCTGCCATCCAATCATCATCGTCGTAATTCTGCGGAAGAACTCGATCTCTCAGCCCTGGACAGAGCTGCATTTCTATTTTATTTCAACTATTTTAGATTTCTAAAAATCGGTAAATAAAATAAATTAACACACAAACAACTCAGAAAAAAACCAAACTACTTTCTTTAGAAATAAAAAAAAACTAGAATGCAAATAATTCAAAAACCTTTTTCAGTGAAATTGAAAAGTGGAGGAAAGCTGGTTCCATCCACCATTCTGGCTCCCTTGCGACGAAGTTCGTCGTAAAAGGGGTGGGCCATCACATCCAGGGGCTTCAGACGTTTCAGTGGCGAGAACACCAAAGTCCTTGAGATCAAGTTCATCGCGTCGGACGATGGCGTGGATTTTGTGAAGACCTGTTTGTGTGTGTGTGTCAGTGTGCGTGTGTGCGTTCGTGTGTGTGTCAGTGTGTGTGCGTGCGTTCGTGCGTGCGTTCGTGTGTGTGTCAGTGTGTGTGTGTGTGTGTGCGCGCGTTCGTGTGTGTGCGTGTGTAGTACATCGAGCAGTCATACAGAAAAAATGCCATAAAATTCTACTTAACAAATGATTCGGAAACTAAACAAACATCTTTTGATCACGTACATGTAGAAACCGTAAACCAAAAATAATTTCCTCATACTGTGTATGACCTACATTCGTATGTTTACCACGCTAAGTTAAGTCAAAACCATATCAAAGCCGTGTGTTGAAAAAGAGGTCAAAGTTCAAAGTTCACGTTACCTTATTCCAGTTCATGGGAAGTAGTAGTGGTGGTAGTCTCATGTCCCTCGCTTGTTGTGTAAAATCTAGGAAGTCCTCGTACGTAGGAGTGCCTGTGTGTGTGTGTATGTGTGTGTGTGTATGTGTGTATATGTGTGTGTGAGAGAGAGAGTGTGAGAGAGAGTGCGTGGTGTGTCTGTTTGTGTGCGTGTGTTTTCTAGACCGCCAACTCACCTAGGACTTTCATAATTTCAACCATCTGGTCGGGCCCTGTAATACCCGGGAACAGTGGATGGCCCTGATAAAGTTCGGCCAGAACACAACCAGCTGACCAAACATCTGTTTGGTTTTTTGGGGAGGGAAGTATTTTTATGTGAGGATTATTTCAATCAATCAATTAATCAATCAATCAATTATTCAATCAATTAACCAACCAACCAACCAACAAACCAAAGCCAACCAAAATATCTTTTGATCACGTATATGTAGAAATCGTAAACCAAAAATAATTCCCTCGTGTATATGACCTACATTCCTATGTTTATCCCGCTAAGTTAAGTTAAAATCATATCAATGTCATGTGATAAAAAAAAGTCAAAGGTCAACGGACAAAATATTTTGACCAATTTGGCAAGTGTAATCTTTGGCTCCATAGATTAGTTCAGGCGCTCTGTAGTACCTGGAGCATATATAGGCTATGTTGGCCTCATTCGGTAGTAACTCTTTGGCACTGAATAAAAACAATAACAATAATAACAATAATAATGAATAATTATAACAATTATAATAATTATTACAATAATAATGTGCATTATTTTGTGCATGCATGCATGCGCGCGAGTGTGTTTGATCGAAGAAATATTATATTATCGATCGTTTGTGTGGGTGTGTGTGTGTACGTAATAATAATAAAATATTAATAATAATAAATATAATAATAATAATTAATAATAATGATAATTATAATTAATATTATTCCGACCTGCCAAAGTCACACAGCTTAACGGCATGGGATATAGGATCGATGAGAAGATTCTGCGGTTTAACATCTCTATGACATATATTTAGGCAGTGTAGGTAGTTTAGACATCTGAACAGCTGGTACGTATATACCTGTGTATGTGTATGTGTGTGTTTGCGTGTGTATGTGTATGTATGTGTTGTGTGGGTGTGTGTGAGCGTTGTATGTGTTGTATACATCTGTGTGTATGTGATGTTTATGTGTGTGAATGTGTGTTAGCGATGTTGAAAGCAATGATATTAATAACGATGATGGGAAGATGATGGTGACGTGGTGGATGATGACGACGATGATAATGACGACGACGACCACAAAACCAAAAACCAAGAAACCTTAACAGAAGTAGGATCTAGAAGTGGTTTGGTGTAGAGGCCGTCGCATTTCGCTAAGGTAAACAACGTCTCGGGCATGTAATTTAGGACCATGTTCAAATACCTCTCGCCTTTCTGTGTCACGTGATAACAACAATAATAATAACAATGAAAAATTATAATCATAGTAACAATTATTATTATATTATTGTTAATGTTGTAAAAACACCATTGGCTTTATCGATATTGTCATTGTCAAAATCAACGAACTCAATAACATCATCATCCCCATTCACATCATCATCATCATCATCATCCCCATTCACATCATCATCCCCATTCACATCATCATCATAACTAACTCTGCAGCCGGCGTCCTCTGAGTAGAAATAGTACAAAAGATCAATTATGTTTGGATGCTGAAGCTGATTCATGAACCACAGTTCCCGATTCTAAAGATATAATTAATTGTTTGTACGTGTGTGCGTGTTTACATGCGTGTATACGTTAATATGATCTGTGTGTGGTGTGTATGTGTATATACATTACCAATGCAACCTTATATTTCTTATATTCAAAGACATTTTTAATAGCATATGTGTGTGTGTACGTATATGTGTGGATGTGTATGTGTGTGCATGCGTGTATGTGTGCGTACGTGTGTGCGTGTTCATACGCTACTGATACAACCTTATATTTCTTATCATCAAAAACTTTTTTGATAGCAACAGTTTCATTGGTGTCACAAAGTCTGGCTTTGTAGACGATGCCAAATGTGCCCTTGCCTATTAACTTGAGGTCGGTGTAGGATAGTTCAATTTCTTGCCCGTACATGTTGTGCCCTCTGGTTGCTTTGGTGGTTACTATGTCTCTGTTTACAAATTCTGGGGTGTTGTGTGTGTGTATGTGTGTGTGTTTGTTTGGTTGTGTGTGCGTGTGTGTGTGCGTGTGTGTGCGCGCGCGCGGAATGTGTTTCTGTCTCAACTACAGAATGTTGAAGAAATGATGTAAAAAATAAATTAATTAAGACATTGAGACACAATTCTTTACAACATTTTCACAAGGGAATACACATCGATGGAGCCAGCCCATCACTGACCATTCGGAAAAAAATTATTAGAAACAAAGCTTAAAAAACGCCAACTGACCATATTCCTCGCCATGGTGCGTCTTTTCAACAGGGGATACAAATCCCACCTTGCCTGGAGGAGCTTGGCTGGCCTTCTTGCCAGACCCGCAACTGAACAAATTTATGAATTTATCCTTTTTCGGAGTAGTTGAAGTTGTGGATTTGCCTGGGGTTGCTTTTTTCGAACTCATATTTTAATCTGGTTTATGATGGCTATATAAATAATATATAATAAATATAAATAATAATAATCAAAAATCGCGATTTTCAACGTAAGAAAACTGCGATTAACGTTAAAACTTAAGCAGTTTAGGCTTGAATTTTGAACTTACAACTATTTATATATTATTTAGAATGTTTTATTAAGGGTTTTGAGTTGTTGTTTCGAAATGTTCGCTCATTTCTGCCGAAATATTTGACATTTGATCGCAGATTGTAGTTGATTGTTTATCGTTGTTTTGCTTCCAATTGGCCAATACAGGTACAAATTTGAAATTTTCAAGCACCTTCTTTACCGATGATGAGCAAGCAGTTTGAGTAGTTATTTTATGAAAAAATATTCTGCAAATTTGATTTTTATCAATTAAATAGTTAAATAGTTATTTTTATAGTTTAATTAATTATAATACTTAGCCTTCAAACTTCGAAATAATATTTTTGAAATTATTGAAAGTTTTAAACGAAATTTCTTATTTCAAAAAACTGAACATTTAATATAAATTATTGATTTATATAATAAAAGTGAAATATAATAAGAAAAATAGTCATTTTATTGATAAAAAGTTGTTCGGAAGAGAATTAGAAAAATAAAAAATATAAATGTAGCGTAACGTAAAGATTCTTGTTAGCATCTAACGCGCTGAATAATGAACACTGCAATGTTATTAAATTCGTTTACAAAAATGCGCAAACGATTTGAATTTTGATTTTAAATTAACATTTATTTACAATTTTATTTTTTAAATTTAATTTTTAGAACGATAATGTCTGCTAAAATAACAGTTTACGATCGAATTTGATTGTCGTTGTTATTTGTGAACGGGCTAGAAAATCAAACATGGCGAAGTTACGATTCGTCGGACGATCCGGACGAAAGTTTAACCAAAATGATATTATCCCTAAAAATAGAAAGAAGGCTGCGGGCGAAGATGTTAAAGTTAACCTTTTGAGGAGAGTTCACACGGGACTTAAACGTTTTCGCAAAATCGCTGGAATGGAAACTGATGAAGTTTGTTTTATTTTTTTAGTTAAGAATTTGAATATAAGTTTTATAATAATTATTTATTGATTAGACCTATCAAAGCCTGCATTATTTTTAATTTAATGCGTTTTGATAATCTAAGTAATAATAAATATCCTAATGCATTTATTTTTTGTGATTATTAATGTTTTGTGTGAGTTGTTTAATTTTTTTCAATATATTTTTCATTCAAGTGTTATGTCTAAATAAAATCATTAAGCACATCCACTAAATTCATTCAACGTTTATTTATATCAATTTTTTTTGTATATAAACTGGAATTATTTGACATTTCAATATTATTTGGCTTATACATTTTATATTGTATTATCATATTTTTTCTAGGAAGATGATTTCAAAGGTTTCACACGAGATGACGTGGATCAAGTTATCAAAAAATCAGCAAAACTTCTGCTAAAAGAAAATAAATCCTTAGAAAATCAACTTCTTGTCGAATCATGTTCCGAAATTAGTAGCAGATTAAGATCAAGTGTTAAAAAGACATCATTAGAAGCTTTTTCTAATCTAGTTTACAAAAATAAGCCTGAAAAACCTTCCAGTCGAGTTGAACCACTACCGCCTGTCAATAAAAAAATTTCAAAGTCACCAATTAAGGAACAATATGTGGCACCGTCTAAACTTGCACAATCGCCTCAACATTTAAAAGCAAAATTATTAAAAAATGCTCCTCCTAAAGCTCCCTCGACAACCAATAAAGAATCTTGCTTTCCAAAATCTCATTTCTCAATGGATAAAAAGGTGCCAACTACTAAAGATAATCTCAAGTCAATGAAAGGAACCATTAAAATAAAATTTTCCAAGCCAAGTTTTTACCAAAAAATGGCCGAAAGAAAATTTTCCTATAAGAGACAAGGCAATTTATCTGAGAACGATGATGATATGGAAGAAGAAAATGTTAATAATGAAGAGTTTGATGAAACCAATGGTGTCGAAGATGATGAGAATGGTGGGCTACAATATGTGGAAAGAAGAGATGTCATCCTTCCTGATGTAACATCGCCACCACCAATCCGTCGAAGGCCAGGAAGAAAAAGTTCTACAAAAGTGTCATCTGAAACTGGTGAGTCATTAACTTATAATTTCACAAATAAAAATATTGAATTTTTTAAAATTTTAATTTCAGACAAGAAAGAATGTACCTCGAATGATCTGACCATCAATGACGATGTTTCAAACAGCCAATCAAATAAAGTAAAATATGATAAAACAAAAGATGTTGATGATGGCATGGTAATTTTCGAAAAGGTGGGAAGAAAATTTGATTGTCATGCTCTCAAATCTATGCATCAGATGGCGAATGATGGCAGTAGTAATAAGAAGCCTTCTTTCAGCATTGATGAGAAGATCAGTTTAATCGATCCGTCGTCTAATTATACGTCCACAAATCATGATGCATCAACTAAGCTCAACAAAGTGCTAATGAAAACTAACAATCTCAGTACAAGTTATAACTCGAGTAGTTTGCCAGCAAATATAATGTCTCCAACAATCAGTGATGTACCTAGAAAATCAAATGATGAAAATGGATCTAAGAAAGTGCCGAGCTTAGAGGCCCCACTCATATGCACCTCAAAAAGAACACCGAAACCTAATTTAAAATTCGTCAACGACACCTGGGACGAAGAAGAGCATTCAAAAAAACGAAAAAGTGAACTTCACGTTGAAATTTCAGAACCCAGCAAACCTCAATATGCCAGCCCACTTCAGACTAAAACTCTCAAATCTACCAAATCTTCAAAAGTGTCTGTAGCCATGAACAGCCCTTTCCCAGTCGTTGAGAAGAAAGGAAAGTGCTGCATATGCAACTCGATTAGGCTATGCCAGAAGAAAATGAAAGATTGTGCCAACTGGTGCTGCTGTGAATGTGCAGAGTTCTACATAGAGAGGGCACCAAAGTTTCTCAAGGGAAAGTTGAATGTAGCTTGTGCATATGAACCATGTAAGTTTTTTATTCACATTTTTTTTTAAACTTTTATTGGTAAATTTTATTATGTTTGGTGGTTGTACTGGTTTTTGTGATGCATTTTTATAATTGATTATGGCTAGCTTCTTAAATGTTTTAATGTTGTAAATGAAATATTACCTTGTAAAACAAATAGCATTTATTACAACATACCCTATAGCAGATAGGGGATTTGTTAATATGCATGTATTAACTAATTTGTTAACTTAAATTTTGTTTCTTTTTTTGTCTTTCATGAGAACTACTGTTTATTTAATTTTTAATTGACAACTTATGTTCCAGGTTGTTGTGCTAGTTGAGTTCCTTAATGAACTCTTTCACAGCCATCCTACCTTCTTATCATTATGTTGTATCATGTTGAGGAGGAAAATAAAAATATTGTATTGTATTGTATTATATTGTATTGTATTGTATTGTATTGTATTGTATACATGCCTGTACCTGTTTATGTGTTGGTATCTGTTGTATCTTCTATTTCAGATGTGTGTAACATGGATGCATCTAAGAATCAATGTGACTCATGCAAGTTCAAGAAATGTCTCATGTTACTACCTTCACCTACACAAGTTGTTACCAATCTCAGTTAGTTTGTTTGTTTGTCTGAGTGTGCGTGTGTGTGCGTGTGTTTTTTGTATGTTTGATTCACAAGTTTACTTTTTCATCTCTAGAATTTATAGAATATTCAATTTATTTTTCCGTCTCTTTGAAAAAAATTTTAAGGAAAAGAAGCTAGAGACTCATTGAATAATCAGACAACAACAATGCCAAGATCGTCAAACAACAACAGTCAGACAGCATCATTGCCAGAGAAGCAGCAGGATGTCATAAAATTAGCTGAGGCCCAGTTTATAGATGACATTTTCTCCCAGACTGAAAATGATAAAAAATCAAATTGTAGCAATAATAATTTCATCAAGTCGCACGATCTAAAGTTGTGTAGGTCAAAGTTCACACCCAACAACGTCCAGCCATTCAGTCCACACCCTACTAACCACCATAGAATCAGCATTTCACCCAAGGAAACATCCCATTATAGATCGCACAACAGGAGAGAATTAAGAGTTTCTGACATCGACTTTGATATTCCTACTATTACTACTGCCATCACTACGGTCACTAGTCAACCACCACTGCCTAGCACAAAATCTGGAAATTCTGATGACGTGGCATCTGACGTCATTGATGTCATTCCAACTGCAGTTGTTGATGCTGAAGATGATGGGATAGGTTTGTAAGAAAAAATTTTTTTTGTTACCTATCATTTATATCTGCATCTTCATATCTTTTATATCTATCCATCAATGCCATTATTATGATGGTAGATATGCTGTATAAATATTTTTTTAACTATAAGTTTATATAAAAAAAACAAAATTACTTTCACCAGAATCATTAGAACCGACCTTGTCGTCGCCCTCACCCCCTCCGCCCCCTGTCATCAGAGGGCCCAGGATTAAACATGTCTGCAGGGAAGCAGCTGTGGCACTCGGGAAAACCCCGGCCGTGTTCGGTCAGAATTCTGTTCATCAGCAACTGCGACTCAGTGCTCTACCCTCCATGGAGAAGGAGAGGCTGATCTACGGAGAAGAGGGAGCCAACAGTCAGGCTAATAGCCCTGGTTAGTTTTTTCTAAACATTCTTTTGATGTTTGGTTTGGCTAGCTTATATGTAGGTAGTGAAATGTGCAAAAAAAGCGAAACATTTTTAATATCTTACATAATTATAAATTTTTAGTAGCATTACTAGCAACAACAGTAACAGCTAATTAAAGAAATTTCTTCATAATTAGCAAGCAACAAGAAACTTAATTGGTATCTAACAGGAGAAACTGAAATCTTATGCATAAGTTTACATAGATATTGGTTTATTTACTGGTAAATCAAGCTTTGTAAATTAATACAATTGGATTTGTTAGGTGATATTGTTGTTTTTTTTTTCATAAAAGTTTCTGAAAAAAATGATGATGAAAATTTAATTTTCTGTTACACAACTACAATTTTGTAACAGTTCCAGCAAGACAAGAGAGCAAAACACCACAGGATAGCAGCAAGAACAATGAGAATGATGATAATGAAGAAGACGATGGTGCAAAGCTAGATAATGTTAATGATAGTGAGTATAAGATTAAGAAATCATCCTCAAAATCGTCGTCTAACTTCTCAAAAGTTAGAAGAGCTTCATATAAGAGGAGTGTCAGATGCCATGAGTGTGAGAGGTGCAAGAGACCTGATTGTGGCAAGTGTAGGAGCTGCAAGTATGTTGTTTGTGTGCTTGCTTGTTTACCTGCCTGTCTGTTTGTCAGTCGGTTTATTTGTTTGTTTGTTTGTTTGTTGAGAATGTTGCAGGTGTTGAGTTTGAGATTGTGTGTAGAGTAGAAGTTGCTTATGTTTGTTTTGTGTGTGTACTATTAAATATATAATTTTGTTTGGTCTAGTTGTTGTTAGTGTTGTTGTTATTGCCTGCTCGCAGTGTTTGATTGGTGGCAAGTGCGAGGTTATTATTAATTACTAATTATTACTACAGATTTACTAATTACAAATTAATAATTATTATTTATCTCATTGTTATTAAACAGGGACATGCCAAAATTTGGAGGTCGAGGAATGATTAAACAGGCTTGCGAGTATGTTGTTGCTTATTACTAATAATAATTATTAATAAATATTATAATAAATATTAATAATTATCATAATCAATATCATTATTATTATTATTATTATTATTATCATTCACTGAATCAATAAACTCACAACCAAATTAACTCACCTTTTCAGGCACAGGACATGCATGAACCCCCTACCGCCGATGTGCCATCGTTCCAAACACTTCAGCAGTTTGCGCAACAACAAACCCATGACGTCATCGTCAACGTCATCAGCAGCCCTAGCTGATAACAGTAACGACGGGGACAATGATGACGACGATTTTGGTGCTGGTGGTGATGGTATCAGTGAGGGATTTAGGAGACGACCTTTTAGAAATAAGCATAAGTTTGGTCTAGATGTACCCAGGTCTGATGAATTGAGGTTATTATTATTATTATCATTATTATTATTATCATTGTTGTTGTTGGTATTAATATTATTGTAATTGTTAATATTGTTGTTGTCGTTGTTGTTGTTATTGTTATTATTGTTGTTGTTTCAGGTCAGCTTCGGTGCACAAATCATCATACTCTAGGCATGAACAGTTCAGGTCAAAGGTTGAGCAGGTAGGTAGTCATTTTAATTTGAATTCTCTTGCTACTATCTGCGGTGTGTATGTTAATTAATTAATGAATGAGTGAGTGAATGAATAAATGATTGCATTGATGAATGAACGAGTGAATGAATGAATGAATGAATGAATGGATTATGATAAATCACAATTTATAACTTATAATCTTTGAAATATTGTTAATGCAAATATTAGTTGTTGTATCTTTAACAGTGACGATGACGATGAGTGATGATATCGAGTATGCTAACATGATGGTGATGTTATTTTCCTTTTCTTATTTCCCCATTACAGTCTTATCAGATAGTCAAAAAATTGAGCTCGAGCAACCTGACATCTATGGGCAGTGCAAATCACCATCACCACAATAACAATATCAGCTACGCCTATGGCAGTCATGCTAACATCAATAACAGTAGCAACATTGTTGGTAACAACAATATCTCAAACTCTTCAAGTTCTAATCTCTTGGAGACTGCAGTCAAGCTACCTGACAACAAGGTTTGTCTGCTTGTTTCTGAGTGTATATTGATGCTAGAGGTATTTTGTTATTGATGGATGGATTGATTGATTGATTGATTGATTGATTGATTGATTGATTGATTGATTGATTGATTGACTGACTGACTGACTAACTGACTGACTGACTGACTGACTGACTGACTGACTGACTGACTGACTGACTGACTGACTGACTGACTGACTGATTGATTGATTGATTGATTGATTGATTGATTGATTGATTGATTGATTGAATGAATGAATGATTGATGGATTGATTGACAATAACAGGATGAGACATTTTTAGAGGTAGCATGGCACAGAGGAGTTTCTGTGGTATCATGTGGTCTAATGAGTGTTAGGCAGGTTTGCAAGCTGTGCGCTTCACTTGGATGTTCAAAGGTGAGGAGTTTCTTAGTGGTGCTAAATTGGTTTTTTGGATTTTTTTTTATTTAATTTATGGTTTATTTTTATAAGTTACTCTTTTGCATATCTTTTTAATCAGTACTTCGTAATTTAAATGAATTTTTTGGCTGTTGGCATGTATTTTGTTTGGTAACTTATTAATTTCCCTCTTCATGTTGTTGCATGTTCAGTTGATATATTGCACTGTCTGCTGTGAACCCTTCCATGAGTCGTGCATGGATGAGCGAGATAGGCCGAAGCCCAACAGACAAGATGTGTGGTGCTGTAAGAGGTGTCAATTTTGTAGCGTCTGCTTTGGGCAGAAAGAGGTTTGTGCATGTTGATTTTTGATTGGTTGGTTGCTTGCTTGGTTGACCATTTGTACGAATTGATAGGCTGTTTATTCATCTGTGGTCTACTTTTGTACTGCCTCTAGCTACTGAAGTGCGACGTGTGCCAGGATTCCTACCATGCAAAATGTCTCAGTGATAACCATCCCACTGAGCCATCTAAGAATAAACAGATATGGGTTTGTAATGGTTTCCTTTCTTCACTTTTTTGTAATTGTTTATAGCTCTTTGCTTGTACAACATTTATTGTAATATTTATTTCTTGTCTCAGGTTTGTTCAAAGTGCGTTCGTTGCAGAAGTTGCGGTACTAGGGTACCGACTCCTATAAACACGTCATCATCTTCCTCTTTGCTAGTATCACTCTGGAGCCATGATTTTTCTCTCTGTTATACCTGTGGAGATATGATGGATAAAGGTTAGTTTCATTTGGTAGTAGTAGTAGTAGTAGTAGTCTCAATTGTCATCTTACTTATCATCATCAACTTCGTCATCATTTTCAAGATAATTATCATCGTCATTGTCAGGAAACTTCTGTCCAGTTTGTCACAAATGTTATCAGGAGGATGATTGGGAATCTCAAATGATCCAGTGCTCCTCGTGCAATAGCTGGGTCCATGCTAAGTGCGAACAACTCAATGGTCTGTCTGTCTGTGTGTTTGTTTGTTTGTTTGTGTGTAACTGTTTGCTTGTTCGTTTGTTTGTTTATTCGTTTGAAAAAGTAATAAAAGATAGCTAAATTTTGCCTACTGCTACAAAACCAGATGAGATGTACCAAGTAGTTGTCCACATGGCAGAGGACGTTCCGTTCACTTGCAAGGAGTGCAGGCCCAAAAAAGAGCCACCACCATCATCATCATTAACACTATCACCACCACCACCATCGTCGTCGTCATCCGTGTGGAAACAGATGATATTGGATGAGATGAACAAAGGATTGAATGGTGTCGTGAATGCTGTTACCAGATCTGATGGCTTTGATGTTTTGCTCTCATTGGGAGAGGTTCGTTACACGTTTATTTCCATTGTTTAGAATTTTATTTTCATCATTGGGATTGTTTGTTCACTTAGGAGTAAACACTGCTGTAAAGTTTCTTCTAATTTATTTTAGGCTTGAGATTAAAAGGATTGTTGTTATGTAGAAATATAATCTAAAAAAATTGTTACTGAGCCAATCTTGATGTATGTTATTAATTGTGCACACCTGATACTAAGCTAAACGCGTTTTATTTTGTTACTCTACTTTTACCTTTGAATTTACCTCTTTGAATTCAGTTTTATTTCATCTGCTTTTCTGTTCTGTCACACCAGTTTAAAGATTCTAGACACAGTAGAAAATCTCGCAAACAGTCCAACAACAATGATAGTAGCAATAAGAATCACCACACAGCAACAACAGCAGCAGCACATTCACCTACAACAACATTATCAACTACTTCTGTCTTATCTCACAACATCTACGACAACATCAGCGCTAACAACAGCAACGTAGCTAATGTAAATCAAACTGACAACAACAACAACATTGATGACATTGAGGGGGATGATTTAATCAGATCTGTTGTCAGAAGTGACAATTTCTCAACAACTACATCAACAGCATCACAGCAGGACACCAGCAGGAGCAATAAGCACGTTGTCTTCAAATCAAATTCTTCCATCTGCCACCTAAACAGTAGTAGTAGCAGTGGCGCTAATAACCACAGCAGCAGCAGCAACAACAGAAATAGCAACAACCAACAACAGCAGCAAGCCGAATCATTTCTCAACAACTTCAAGCAGTTTTTATCATCCAACAAATCATCTTTACAACAACAACGACAGCAGCAGCAGCAGCATTCAGATGTTGAGATGAGTGACGATGAGTCACCTGATAATGAAGCGACAGCAAAGAATAATTTAGACAGTAAAACAACTAGAGATGTTGTCGACAATGCTGATGTAGTTGGTGATATCACCTTTTACAACAATAATAATAATATTAAACATAACTTGAATGGGCAAGTGAAGTCATCAAGGTCGTTGCCGACGGTGATAAATAGATCGGAGGATGACGACGATGATGACCTCGATGGCGATGTTTCCGGGTTCAAAAGCAACCTCCTCCCTAAACCGGTCGTTCGTTTCAGTACCCTACTTAATAAAGATGTCAATCAGATCACCAACACCAATAGGATTAACAGTACTGGCAGTGATGATGATGACAATAGTGGCGGTAATGATGATAATGATGCCGGTTATAGAAATATTCAAGGTGCTGAATGGGAGAATGAAAATGGAGATGATGGCGAGGAGTATGATGAAAATGATCCAATGAGGGCGTTTGATGCTATCAAAGAAAAACTTGAAAAATCTTTTTACCTATCCGTTACTGATGTCAGGCAGGACATAATCATGGCCATAGAAAGTGTAACGGAGAAGTTAATCTGTGATCATGTGACTAAAGAAATGATAAGTAAATCTCTCCTGGATGCCATGTCTAGACAACTGTCCATATCATTCCCATGGTATGATAGCAGGGCAGGGAGGATTGATAGCAGTGTTGATAATGACAACTTCAATAAGAGAGAAGTTTCAGCAGAAGAAATGGTTGTGCCGCCGTACCCCGACCACAATTATGCCATCTGGAGGGAGAAAATAACGGCGACTAACATCACCCAACCAAGACTCTTTAGGTCACCTTCGAAGATGACGACGTCATCATCATCAACTGCAGCAACTCATCATCAAAAACAGCAGCCACATCATCATCGTAGGAAGTCCTCTAGTGTTGAGGGTAGGGAGGATGATAACAGGACCTGTTTGCTCTGCTGGTCTGTCGGGGACTCACCTGAAAATGTTGGTTGCTGCTTGCTGTGCTTTTTTGTTGCTGTCGTTGCGATGTTTTTTGTTGTAGCTGTTGTGCTGTTGAACTGCTGTTGTTGTTTAGTTATTGCTAATACCTTTGTTGCGGATGTGCCAAATATTTTGAAGAAAATGTACTATAATATTTCACGCACGGCATACACCATCGCATTAACAACATTAATATCAACAGCAACGACGACAACAAATGGCACTAACATGATTCTTTTTATACATATACAGGATTGTGGTAGACTCTTATACATGGGTCAGAATGAATGGGTGCATGTAAACTGTGCACTCTGGTCTGCTGAGGTGTATGAAGAAACTGATGGATTACTACAGAAAGTTTATTCCGCTGTTGCTAGGGGTAGAAAACTGGTTAGTCTTTGTTTGTTTGTGTGTGTGTGTCTGTGTGTTTTCCTGTGTAAGTATGGTTGTTTTTTGTGGTATATGTTGATGTAGTTAATTTTCTTGCTACTGTTTTCATTCTTGTGTCCTCTTTTTTGTACTGTTTGTCTCTTATTTTTGAGAGTCCATGAATGATTTTTAATTATGTACCACGTTATCATCGAAAACTCTCTATTTGCACCAGAGATGTGACGCTTGTGGAAAGCCGGGAGCCACAGTCGGTTGTTGTCAGCTGGATTGCAATGCTAATTTTCACTTTCCATGTGCTCGTCGTAAAAATTGTGCCTTTGTTGAGTCCAAGAAAGTCTTCTGCTCTGCACATGTGGCATTTGCTGATGGCAGGGTTAGTTAGCTGGTTGACTGGTTCGATTGATTGATTGATTGATTGATTGAAAGAATTATTGATTGATTGATTGATTGATTGATTGATTGATTGATTGATTGATTGATTGATTGATTGATTGATTGATTGATTGATTGATTGATTGATTGATTGATTGATTGATTGATTGATTGATTGATTGATTGATTGATTGATTGATTGATTGATTGATTGATTAATCAAACAAACATTCATTTGCAGCTTCTTTCAAAATTTGATCTTGAGCATCGATTGTGCCTGGACATGGAAAGTAACAAGTACATAAAAAAACAGTGGCTTGCTGGACTCAACCATTCGACCATCTGCATTCTTGTTGGTTAGTTGCTCGTCCCTGCTGACTTCTTGTTCCAAATCTCAATTGAATTTGGTAAAATATTGATATGTTTCATGTTATGTTTCTTAAGGTTCATTAACGATAGAGAGCATGGGGATGTTGACAGCACTGTCAGACACAAGACCTTGTCTGCTGCCTGTTAACTTCTGGTTAGTTTATTTATGAATGAACAGCAAGCGATATTACTCTATGTTGTCTCGTGAAATGGGTACTGATTTTTAAGCTATGCTCTTCATTTTGTAACTCTCTTCAAGTTTTTAATTTTTTTTTTAGAAAATTCAAAATATTGCTAACTAACCTGCAGCTCTTCCAGATTATTTTGGAGCACGACAGAGGCCCACAAGAAGACATACTACACGTTCAAAATCATCGAAGTGCAGCCAAAAATGCCATCACACCGCGGTAATAGACTCAACTACCACAGATACCTCCAAAACAGCCTCGACTTCACCATACCACACGACCCGAACGACCCAAATTACGATGAGCTGGTGGCTGCAAGGTTCAGTAGAAATCAAGAGATGGACATCCCGTCTGATGCCTCCACAGTGTCCGTCTCGGATGAGGACAGGTGGACGTCTGATATGGAGGATGAAGAGGTTCTTTCTTTTCATTCATCCTTTTCATCAGTAATTGATGGTATACTTAGATAAACTTGTTCTTAGAACTTAAAACTTTAGTATAGCTAGAGATATTTGTAGTTTCATGATCTCCTCATTGTTATGTTCTTGTCACATAGATGTTTTTATTATCCTCTTCGTGTTATAGATGGAGAATTATGAGAGCCAACAGCAGCAGGAAAAACAGCTGCAGGATGAAGAGAAGTGGCAACAACAACTGAACGACGAACAGCTTGATGCTGCCGAGAACAAACAGAAGAGCAGCTGCAGATCCTCCAAACACCTGCCTGCAGCAAAGAGGGGAAGAGGGAGACCTCCAAAACAACAGTTCTCATCGTTCAACAGTCACGCACAACAAACTCAACTGCTCAATGAACCATCCATGCCTCTTAAAAAATCTAAGACTGCCTCGTTGATCAACAAATTGAGACATGCAGCTGATGATAGTGAAGATTCTGGTAAAAAACCTCGCAAATCCCACAGTAGCAAACCAACAAAACACAATAAAAGTAGCAAAAGCATGAGTGCTGCACAACAGCACAACAATGCCTCATCGTCTTGGAAGTCAGGTCAAAAGATGAGGCAGTTGATGTTGAACAAGAACAAGCAACAACCACAACAACGACAACCCCGACAACCACAACAAAGCAGCAATACTTTTAACTCAACCCTGGGCAACATCCCAGAATTTGTTGATGTGGAAAGGGATGATGATGACGATAACTTTGATGAGGAAGACGACGACTTGGGAAATTTGAATGAAGATGAAGGTGAACTAACTCTAGTGCACATAGTTGACAGGTTGAATCAGGCTGCTGCTAAAAACCAATCACAATCAAGGATTGTCTCAGCAAACAACAGCAGCAACAACATTTTCAGCAACAACAACAACATTTTCAACAGCAACAGCGGCAACATTTTCAACAGCAACACCGGCAACAACATTTTCAACAACAACTTCCAGACAGCACCAGCGTCAGCATCAATGAACGACAAACTGTATGACCCACTTGAAGACTCGGATTGGGTCAACAACATCTTCAATGAGGCGAACAGGAAAAGTAACAACACGAGAAGCAGCCTGAGTAACCTGAATAACGATGAGGATGTTAATGATGATGACGAGATGGCTCAAGGGGTTTCGTTGTTCTCTGAACCACCAGCATCTGTTAACACCAATTATACACTGGAGACCAATGATGGTAACAAACTCTTATTCTCTGCTGAAGAGTTGCAAAACGTCTTGTTGCTAAACCAGCAGCATCTGCATCAACCCCATCAAAATATTAACAATCCACAAAAGCAGCAGATTAAGATATGCCTGAAAAAAGATTTTGCAGCTCAACAGCTTTTGTTGCAGCAACAGCAGCAACAACAACTGCAACAACCACAGCAACTTTTGCAGTCTCAACTACAACAACAACTGCAGCTACAACCACAACAGCAGCAACAACAACAAATGGCTGCTGGTAACCCTGTGCAAGTTTTCATAAAATCTGCAAATCAAATGCAACAGCAGCAGCAGCAACAACACCAAATGAACTTTCAAATTCAGAATAACATGCTAGTAGCCAGTGCCTCGACATCTGCAAATAATTTCCCCAGCTTCACTACTGCAGATACGCCCAACGCGACACGGAAGTTGAAGTTAATATTAGTCTCGAATGTGAAATCAGGCAAGACAGAGATTAGACAGATTCAGCAGCTGGATGGCTGCGCCGATGAATCATCAAGTGATGACAACGATGATAACACTGCTGCCGATGATGATGATAATAATAATGATATTCTAGGCAATGATGATGCAGATCATGCTGATGGTGGTAATAGAGATAGTAGATTAGATGCCGGGACATCAAATGATGATGATATAGATAGGGGGGTTAAAAGGAAGTTTGATGATGATGATGATGTTGGTGATAATGGATATCAGAATAAAAGACTGTGCACACCACCGCCATCGTTATCGTCATCATCTTTACTGTCATCATCATCATTCGGTTATTCTCTACAGTCTAGTCTAGCAACGAACTCTGCAACAACAACTTCAACAACAGCTGCATCATCGACAGTAATGTGGACAACGACGCCGACAACTACCGCGTCTTCACCATTGCAATCAGGTCGTATGAATAGTGGCGACAGTAAAGATGATCATGATGATGATAACGTTGGGGAAGGTGATGACAGAGTGGCAATCAAATTGACGCTATCGTCTGCATCTCTATCTACGACACTTGGTGATGACGACGCAGATTATGAAGATGACGAAGACGACGACGATGTAAATGAGGATGATGATGAAGAAGAAGAAGAAGACGACGATGATGAAATGATTAGTCCTGGTAAAAGGAAAAGGAGAAGAAAAGGTCGCAATTTATTTTTTCATTCAAAATTTCACATAAATTTTTTGACGTGCACTTTTCTTCACTAACATTTGCATCAGTATTGCTAGTAGTGGTTATTATTATTTTATTGTTATTATAATTATTATTATTGCTACTAGTCTTAGTTATATTCTTTCTGGTAGAAAAATTAGTAACAATACTTAAATACTAAAATGATGGTTATTTTCTCTAAGCAGATGGCGTCTTCACCCTTCGTTCTATGACCCACACAAGATTACCCCAGGCAGAAATGGAGGAGGAGATTGGCTCCCCATCCTGCCAGTCACACCACCACCAACAACAACAACATCAGCAGCTACAGCAGCTGCCACAATCGCAACCGTCATCGTCGCTGTTGTCGTCATCACCACCTATCTTACTGTCCTCACTGCCATCTTTGAGTAGGTTGAAGAAAGTTGAAGAGGAGGGAGATAGTGCTAGCAAGAGAGAGGATGCTTTTGTTAGTGCCAGGGGGAGAGATACTGAGTCTTTTAGAGAGAGTTCCCTTACTGAAAGGAATAAGCTGTTGAGAAATGTCGATGAGGATAATAATAATAAAGAGAATGATATCCAAATGGATGCCATTCCTTTAGCAGCAGCTGCAGCAACTGCAACCACAGCAAATAACTTAATCAGCAATAAGAATCTTAACGTTAAGAACATGCCCAGTGTTGCTGATAAAGACGATGATGAAAACATCATCAAGGACAACTGCAACGACGACGACGACGATGATGATAAGAAGAAGAAAGGTTTGAAAGCTAAGCTCTCAGCCAGATACGTGCCTCACATCATGTTCGAGATCACCAGCGATGATGGATTCAGGATACTGTCAGACTCTCTTAATCGTTAGTAGTGCTGCTTGTGATGTTTCCCTCGCCAGTTTCATGACGTCACCAGCATTTGTTTGAATTATTATAATTATATTATAATTATATTTATTCTTTTCAATCAAATATTTCTACTAAGGTGCCTGGAAAGCTGTGACGGATAAAGTGAAAGAAGTTAGGTCTATGGCGGGTCTCAAGCCTGTCTCTTATGCAGGTATCTTTATCCTCCCTTCTTACTTATGCTTGTTTGTATGTAGTGTTGGCGTGTGATGCAGTGAGTAAGTACTCTATTGCAGTGATGACGTAATGATGATCATGTAGTAATGATGATGCAGTGATGATGTGGTGTCGATGACGTCACTAAATAACCCCCACTCCAGGGCTAACGGGTCTGTACATGAGTGGTCTCGACCAGCCCACCTTCACCTACCTGCTGGAACAGATGCCAGAGTGCAGGAACCTGAAGAACTATCAGTTCAGACATCATAAGGATCGATGGAGGGCGGATGAGGTTTGTTGTGATGACGTCATGATGATGTCATAATGGGATGATGATGAATGAGATGATAGTGGTGGTGGTCATGTGACATAGTTTGTGTTTGATGTTTTAATACTTTTGTCACAATTTACAGGAAGAACTGATAGAGAACAAACATGGCTGTGCCAGATGTGAACCGTTCACACGAACCAAGCATAAGAACGACATGTTCTCATTTCTCCTCTCAACTTATCGAATCCCTCCAGCCTACGACCCAGTTCTTAGCAAAAGTGATGAAAACTTGACTGCAAACATTGCTCAAAGGTTTTTTCTCATTTAAATTTTTATTTTTATTTTGTTACAAGTTGTCCAAATTAATTATCTAAGTCTTCCATTTTCTTTTTTCAAATCATGAGTGCTTTGTGCTGTCTTTTTCTATAACAAAATGATACATAGCCCGATGAAATCAAATGTTTTTCGATGCTCGTCGTTTTTTTACTCTGAGCAGGCGCAGTCTGGAACTGCCCATGGCCATGAGGTTCCGACAGCTGAAGTCCCTGACGAGGGAGATCGTGGGAGTGTACAGGTCCTCCATTCATGGCAGGGGTCTCTTCTGTAAGAAGGACATTGACGCTGGCGAGATGATCATCGAGTACTCCGGAGAGGTTTGTGTGTGTTGCTGCCTGCTGGCTGGAATGTCTTGCACACACAAAACCACATACATACTTACAAAACCACACACACACACACACACACACACACACACACACACACACACGTACGTACAGGTGATCAGGGCAGGCCTGACAGACAAACGTGAGAAGATGTACGAAGGCCGGGGCATAGGGTGTTACATGTTTCGCAAGGATCTCGACCACGTCATCGACTCGACCGTCATGGGCAATGCATCGAGGTTCATCAACCACTCCTGTGAACCAAACTGCTACTCGAAAGTTATCCATGTTGGTTTTTAGCTTCAATGCAATCTCACCCACTCACCCTACTAGATATTTCATGAATTCTCCCAATCTATCGGTCTTTCAATCATTTAAACATTCAATCGCACATTCAATTCGGTCTAGAAATTAATTGATTCGTTAATTGATGCTGTTTAAATTCTAAAATTTTATAATGCTAATGCCAGTCAGTCTTGCACAGCAATTCATTTCATTACCCCTACCATCGTAGCAAGTTCCTAATCGTTTCATAACCTCAACTATCATTGCTTGGAATCATAAAAGCAATTTTTTTTAAACCTCCAAGGTGGACAATCGAAAGCACATAGTGATCTTTGCCCAGCGAGATATCAAGCGAGGGGAGGAGCTTACCTACGACTACAAGTTCCCCATCGAAGAAGTTAAAATACCCTGCTTGTGTGGCTCGAGAAAGTGCAGAAAATACCTTAACTGACATCATACACAAATACCTGGAACTAATATACACAAATACTTTACTGGCATGCACAGATACCTTGACTTAAACGCACAAATACGTATTGCTTATGTTCTGTACAATACCACTGCATACCTATCATATAGTATATTGTTTTGTATTTGTATTTGCAGGTGTATTAATGCATGCGTGTGCATGTTTGTATGCGGTACTTGCAAGTTTAACATGCATGCATACAAAATATATACTAATGTGTTTACTATGCTATGAATATGTACTGTACAAAGCATGTATAGATTTGTATATATATATATATATATATATATATATATATATATATATATATATATATATATATATATAGAAAGATATGTATGCAAGCATGTAAGTACAGTACATGTGTATATATATACGTATATAAATGTATATAGACAATTAAATAGAACTGTTGGATTGAAATACCGTTGACACCTGTATGTAAACTGTCCACTTGTTTATACCATTTATTATTTTAAGGAGATGACGAAATGCATACATACATACATACCTGTGTAAATGTCTATAAGATAATACATATATTTGTGTGTGTGTGTATATATGTGTGTATGTAGTGTGTACATGTGTATGTATATATGTACGTATGCATGTATGTATGTATGCATGTATGTATGTGTGTATGTATGTGTGTATATCTTTATGCGTATATATTTGGATTTAACATTAATTAGTTTTAAATTTGACATTTTTTTTTAAACTTTGAAGGCTATTTCTTACCTATTATATCGAATGCGGTTGTTGTTGTGTCTTGTGTGGTTGTTTACACAATTTACGTCAGACAGTTTTATTATTAGTTTTTTTTATTATTATTGTTGTTTATTATCATTATTATTTTTCTTCTCTTTTGTTGTTTTTCCCCATAAATTCCTTCCGTTAAGTAACTTTTTGAAACATTTTTAGTGGACTCACTAATTAATTAATAATTCTTCCATTCATTCATTCATTCATTCATTCATTCATTCATTCATTCATTCATTCATTCATTCATTCATTCATGCTTATTTTGGGGTTTTTGAATAATTTTAATGTAAACAGTGAAATAGATTTGAACATTGAACTGTCGATTCTTTTTTAAATAAATAAAAATTAATTAATTGGTCAATTAATTAATTAATTGGTCACTTAATTAATTAATTAAATGTAAATAACGAAATTAAAGTAATCAGTGCGAGTAGTTAGGTAGCAGTTACATTTCGAAGTTTAAAAACGAAGCTAGAAAATCTATCGTCTGGAGGAACGTGATTGATTTTCGTGTCATTCAACAACATGGCTGGTTGGTCGTCTTTAAGTTGGTTAGTTGATTGATTGGTTGGTTGTAATCGATTGATTGATCGATGGTTGATTGATTGATTGATCGGTCGTTTGATTAATTAATTAATTGATTGATTAATCGATTGATTGATTGGTTGATTGATTGACCGATCGATAGCTCTTCCACATGTTACGTCACTTAATATCTCCATCATAGAGGACATTGGCATTTTTCCACAGCTAAGTTAATGACGTAAGCAAATAAGAAAGTATTGTTAACTTCTTTTACATGTGCAGCCTCTATAGGTTTATTGTTATTAACGTTTCATAGCTCTAGCTATAGCGAATTTCTAGAGCGTTAATTGAGCTCCTTGTGATGTTCTTTACTATTAATTAATTAGTTAATTAATTAGTTAATTAATTAGTTAACTAATTGGTGTAATTATGTATTATTTAAAATGTCGTTACTGTTGTTTGGTTATATTTCTCTCTAGACATGAAAGTTCAGTACCGATCCATTGCTGACGATCTTATATTATTTATTCATTTTGATTTTAATTTTATTTAAAAAAAGGAACTGAGGCGGTACAAACCTGACAAGAACGTTACTGAATTAAAATTAAAGAGAAAAATAATTTCAATAATACGAGAAAAAAGATGGTTGTACATCGTTTGTAATGTTTGGCTGATTCACGCATACAATTTTAAAATGCTTGGCACGTACCTACTTGACACGTACATACACATAAAACACCTATCTACTTACATGCGAACACATGTTGCACAACACACACACACATATCCACACATACGTGAGTCTATATAAATACTTATTAATTTTAACATTCATACATTGATTGATTGGTTGAAATGTGCATGTATTCACGTTAGCTGATTGATATATGCATGTGGGTGAATATGAGTATGTATGTGGTCCTTATAAGTAGATAGAGCCAGTAATTTACAACCAGTGAATATTACAACAAAACAACTTGAAAGATTGATTTGATCATGTGGAATGAATTTGAAAGCTTTTGCCGTCAAAATCTTGAAGAAGAAAGTTAAAATTTCACAAGTGGAAGTTTTGAAATGAAGAAGTTTACAATAATCACAAAGCACAAACACGTTTACGCTCATGTTTTTAGTGAATCATTTCTCGTTTGGCCCGCTCTGATGCATCATTTGAGGATGGTGTCCCGTATAACTTTTCGTAGTACGTAGGTCGTTCAATTAACCAGTAGCTATACTAAAAGTACAGCCCGGCTTGCAACTCGTGTTCAGAAAAGTTTTCGAGATTTCATTGTTGTTGCAGTTGTTGTTGTTGCTACTGCAATTGATGCCAGGACTGAATGTTACATTACTGATGTTGTTGTTGTTGTTGTTGTTGAAAGTTTTGTTGGCTTGAGACGGTGTGTCAGCATCAACCGACATGGATGGTTGGATTGTTTGGAATGAAAGCGTCCCCAGAGGATTACAAGTGAATGTCGATGCTGGTGTCGGTCGGTCGTGTGGAAGTTTTTTGGTGGTAGTGGTGGTGGCGATCACCGCGCAGTCGGGTAGGTGGGCAGATAGTTGAGTGTCGTTGTGGTGGTTGATGGCTTGGTTGACGTCGTCATTCTGTAGCAGCGCTTCGCATTGTTGATCAATGAATTTCAAGTTCGACCTCAGCGAGTTCAGTGGAATGAAACTGTTGGTCTTGTGAGAATTTTGCTGCTGTTGCTGTTGTTGGAGAAGTTGTTGTGTGCAACTAATTGCGTTGTTTCGCGCACGAGAACCCGCGTAAATAGATTTACAACCGTCGTAAACGCTGTTCACATCGTAAGCAAGGACTTCTTTATTTGCGGCTACCGTCGCGTCCACACAGTAGTTGTCGCAACGGTAGTTACTGGCGTTTCTGTTTTTGCTGCTGCAATTGTTTTTAGCGCAGGTTTCGTTCTTGTTGGCGATGCCGTTGTTGATGTTGTTGTTGATGTCATCAATGTCATCAGTGTTCATGTTGTTGCTGCTGTTCATGGCGTAGTAAACGCAACCCAATTTGTCGCTACTTCCGTAATCAGAAGTGGACGCTGGTGGTAGCGGGTAGGTGGCCAGGTGATGATGATGATGATGAAGATGATGTTGTTGTTGTTGCTGCTGTTGTTGTTGTTGTTGTTGTTGTTGTATGGACCCCTGCTCGCTGTACGGATATTGCAGCGGCGTCAAGGAAGATGAAAAATTTCTGTTGCTGCGGTAATTAGATCCACCGTTGGCGTTCGCGGCCACCACATCGTCGTTGTCCTCGTTGCGCTTCCTGCGCGAAATGAGGAAATGAAGTTTGACAATGGCAAATAAATGAATGAAAAAAATGTTTGGATGAAACGTGGGGTCGGAGGAAGGCGCTAGAATGGACACTCCATTCTTTCATTCTCTACTGTCACTTATTTCAATAACAGATCAAAAGGCATAGAAACAACAACACATACAAACAACAACACATACAAACAGCAACACATACAAAAGACAACACATATAAACAACAACACATACAAACGACAACACATATAAACAACAACACATACAAACAACAACTCATACAAACAACAACAACATACAAACGACAACACATACAAACGACAACACATACAAACAACAACACATACAAACATTGAAACACACAAACAAAAAACCGAAATTAACATTTCAAACATATTTGCGCATCTAAGCAATACTTTAAAAATAATACAAATACTAAAACTACAACCAAAAACAACAACTGCTACTACTACTACAGCTGCTGCTGCTGCTGCTACCACTAATACTGCCACTACCGCTGATACTAGAGCAGTACTCGCAGATGCCTTTTCGATTATCAAGTGCAAATAACAACTTCTACTTACTCCTCCCACACTCTTCGTTGACATTTCAGTTTGAAAACTTAACAGTTGAGAGCGGATGAACGTACAAACGAATGTACAAACAAATGTACAAATATAAAAACAATCGTTCTTACATACATACATACTAGCATACAAACTTATAAAAACACAAGGAAACAAACAGACACATCACATACACAAGAGATCAAAAAATATTTATTCGAAAAAACATAAAGAAACATATATACATACATGTGAAAAAACATGTAAAAAACAAACATAAAAATGAACATACAAACATGCAAACAAACATAAAAACAGAGGTTCAATCGTCTTGGCAAACAAACCAACAAACAGAAAAATACATACACATACATAAAAACATCCAAAGGCATAAATGTTTTGTATATATATATATATACATTTCATTTTATTTACATGTATAAAAACACCCTGCCCTTTTGTTCTATTGTAAGAAAATGGATGGATGAGTGAATGGATGGATAGATAGAAAATAGATCGATAAACAGATGAATGGATAGATGAATGAATGAAAGAACGAGTGAAAGAATGAATGGATGAATGAAAAGATAGACGGATGGATGAACAGGTGACGAAGAAAGCGTGTCAAGAGGTTCGGTTATGCCGTGTTTAAATGTGTCAACACGCGTGGCATGTGCTTGTCTTGCCTATGTATGTATGTATACTCCAGGTATTTCTGTGTGTATTTCTGCGTGTACTTCTGCGTGTATTTCTGCGTATGATTGCGTGGTGCACATACGTACAAACGTTTTTATACAAATGTTTATTCTTCATTTGGGTGTATTATACACATGTTTGTATTTTTACCTATAATGGTATTAAAGGTATGTGTGTGTGCGTGCGTGTGCGTGTGTGTGTATGTGTAAGTGGTGTACGTAATATATGTGTGTAGTGTGCACATAAGCGTGCGTGTGTTTGTTTATGTGCGTGTTTATATGCACGTGTGTTTGTACGTGTTATAAGTTCAAGTGTTTGAGTGTTCTTAATTAAAATTTTTTTTTTATAGATTTTATGTTCATTCTCGCTTTGTTTATTGTTATTTCATGTCTTTGTTTTTATATTATTTGTCTGTATTATTATTATTATTATTTATTGTTATTATTATTGCGTCATTCTCATCAACAACAAACAATATTAAATCCATAGAACCACAAAAAACAAATAGCTACTCCTACTGCTATTCCTACGGCTGCTACAAATACTACACTACTACTACTATTATTACTACTACTACTACTACTGCTGCTGCTGCTACTACTACTACTACTACTACTACTACTACAACTACTACTACAGCTACCACAACGACAACAGTCCCTACCTTTTTCTAAGCATAAATAGAATTGCTAAGGAAGCTGATCCGATGATTAATCCAAGTATCAATCCTAATATTATGGCCACCATAACACCTGAATAAATGAAGGAATGAAAGAATGAGTGAATGAGTGTGTGAATAAATGAATGAATGTGTGAATGAATGAATGCATGCATGAGTGAGTGAGTGAGTGATTGCGTGAGTGAGTAAGTGAGTGAGTGTGTGAGTGAGTGAGTGAGTGAGTGAGTGAATGAATGAATGAATAAACGGATTAATTGAAAGACGAATGAATTGACAAATACGTCAAGAGCTTGGCTGAAAAAAAATGTTAAAAACCAAAACTGAAACACGCTGAAAAAAATTCAATTCATTTATTTTAAAAAATAATAAACTAAAAATATAAATAAATAAATAAAACATTAAATGAACAAATAGATAACTAAAATAATTTTGAAAACTTAATTTAGAAAATTGAAATCATTAAAATTCATCATTCGAATACATGAAAGAGACAGCTAGGCCTCAAGTAACTAAAAGGAAGAAAAATGATAGAGAAAGAGTTAGTGGTGAGAAATAAAAAAAAGAATGACACATGAAAAACATTGAAAGAGAGAGAGAAGAGAGGAAGAGAGAGAAAAAGAGAGAGAGAGAAAGATAGAGAGAAAAATGAAATAAAGAAAATGCCATAAAGGAAAAGATTGAAAAAAAAGAAGCAGAATGTTCTAAAGGAAGAAAGACAAAACGAAAAAGAAAGAGAGAAAGAAAAAAAAAGAAAGAGAAGAAATGAGTGAGGGAGATAACGACACAAAGAATGAGAGAAAAAGAGAAAGAAAAAATGACAGAAAGAGAGAGAAAGAGAGAGAGAGGGATGAAATAGAAGAAGAAGGGACAGATAATACATAAAATGCTCGAGATAGAAACGAAATAAATGAATGAGTGAGTGAATGAGCGGGCAAACGATTGAATGAATAAAGGATTGATTGATCGATTTCCAAATGAATGGTCAGATAAATTACACTTTGCATAGTAACTGGTTACCGGGCAGTGCCTGATGTATCGTACCATCAGTGCAGACATATTCAAGAAGAAGTTGGTGAAATTATTTTTATGACGTTAAAATCAACTTTGGGACAGTAAAGTTTGCGTCAACCATTGCCAACATTAACCACATTCTTAATAACAACAACGACATCAACAACAACATCAACAACAACATCATCAACAACAACTACATCAGCAACAACATCAACAACTACGTCAACAACAACAACAACATCGACAAGATTATCAACATCAACAACAACAACAACATCAACATCGAAAGCACCATTGTATGAACAAACATCATCAACAGTCAGTCAAATAACATCATCCGCATAGAAAGTAAAAAACCGGAAACGGATGTTTATTTATGATCGATGATCAATAGTTTAAAAGTGAATTTAAAAGACGTTGAAAGGCGCCATCATGATGGATGGATGGACGGATAGATGGATGGGTGAAGGAAAAAAAGAATTTGAAAAAATAAACTAAAATAAAACGTCCGAAGCATCAATGATAGAAATAAAAAATAAAACTTGTTTACAAAATTTAAGCGCTAAATGCG